ATGAGTTCGATTTGTTTTCATTTCTGTTCAGAGTCATAACGGGACGACTGCCAGCATTTAAACACCGCCCTCCCTGGCTACAAAGGTGAGACAAAACACGCGACTCCGAACGCCTAGGGGTGACGTGACATCATCCCTAAAGCCTTTGGATTCCAGCTCGGGATCTTCCTGCGCTGTTTCATGTAAGGATCTAGGAAGTAGTCCCGCTATCCGAATCGACTTGTCTTTAGTTTTTAAAACAGCAGAAGCGGAAAGTTTCTTCTCTTTATAAGCCAAACAGCTCAGCGAGAGTATGTCTTTCGTCCCAGGTCAGCCGGTGACTGCTGTTGTGGTAAGTTTGAGGGCTGTGGCTCTCCACATTTAACCGTACTCTATTGTTCAGCTTCTCACCCGACTTTAGCATCAAACCGTATCGGTGCAAACTCTGAATTAACCAATGTTGGGTAACTATACGCGCTAACCAGCTAACTGGAGTTTTTGCTAACAGCAGGGCGACTTTCTTTGTTTAGCTAAAAGCAGTTGAGTGATAGCAGCTGAACAGATATGAGCACTTTATGTACCCAGTAATGTTAAATTTAACCGAATAACTCATTAAATCACTGCAGCAAAGAACTGGGCACTAACGCGGGACACAAAGAGTGACATGAAGTTGACCGTTAATTAAAAGACAACTGAGTTTATCGTCAGAAAACTGCTGTTAATGAAAATGGGCGTCACCACCTTTGGAAATCAGGCTTCCTGGTCTTCTCCAAAGCTGAAGATCTAGCTGGAGATGGACAGCTGGGATTTTAGCAGGTCTTTGTTGTAGAGCAGAGTGTGTGACAAGCACTAAATTATCAATACTATGAAGTCTGAGCAACTGCTGTGATTTGAGCTAACTGATAAGTCAAGTTTTTCAGAGTCAAATCTTTGTTTAACTTTATATATTTTCATAAATCACTGTTGCTTCATCTTTTTTTGCTTTTATTTGACATTTGCAGCTCAACATTTGTCCCCTCAGAGTCCCTTTTGTATAAATAGACTGAAATATTGATGTGAAAGAGGCATTGCGTTTGATTTGTCCTGATCAAACAAAACAGCAGTCAGTGATTTGTGGGGATTGGATGAGGGTGGATCCATGCCCACCCAATATATCCACCTTGTTGCCTGTGTCCCCTAGCATCAGAGAGTGTGCAGGGGCAATCATAGTCTAGTCAGTTGTGTGTAAGAATCAGTTTCTGTAATGTCTTCTAAAATACATTTTTAATTCTTTAATATAATTTTTTTTAATGATCGCTCAGTTGTGCCCCTGCTGGTTGACACACACTTCAGATCAAGCCACCTCCTGTAATGAAATACTATAAGATAGAAGTCCTGACTTACGCAATAATTGCGCTACTGTACTATCATTGTTTTTTGTTCATTGTCCTCAAAGGATGTGTGGGTGTGTTTAAATTCCCGTTAATTTTTCAGACATTTTTGAGTCATGAATTCTCTCATACAGGAGGTAGTTGCATAACATTGTACCACACAGACACACACACACACACACCCTCTCCAGGGGCCAAAACCTAAAGACATAAATCCAAAAGTTTGTTTTATTTTCAGAATAATGTTTATGATATATCATAGGACCAATAGTAAAACTGCATAACCAATTTAACATAACAGCAGCATAACAGACACTCCATGTTTGAGCTTTTTCCCCTGATAATTCAGCTAAGAAAATGTTCAAATATGTAACTTGAATAAATTTTTAGAGGTGATGTCAAATTTTTTTCTGCCTGGAAGTTTCTTGTGGCTCCTTCTTGCACTTATAAAGTTATGAGGAATCGAAAATGCCGGAAAGAAATGTGGCAAATTTTAAATTGCAAAGTTTTGACCTACTTTTTGAACTTTGAGAATTTGTAACGTGAAAAGTTTTTACAGCACAACATCATTCACATAAATTCAGTAAATCTAGTACATTTATTATGCATTAAAAAGTCAGTGGATTCGAAAGGTGGGAATGTATTTTTCTTGCTTTAGTGGCTAGAGTTACATAATTTGAAATAAAATTTATACAGTACATATAAGTATTATGTTACAGGTCTACACAAAAACACCTTTGAAGCAGGTTTACTGTAATACACAAACTTACTAGATGTTTGTTTGTTTGTTTCCATCAAGTCTCGAACAGCTAAATCACCTGTGTTGGCGCGCAGGTACACCTTAGCCCCCTCAAAGCTCTAATCTATATCAGATATTATGAAGAGTCATAATAGACTGGTGTATGCCTTTAATGCACAAATAACAGCTATTAAAAATGTTGTATGAGTTTCAATTCATGTCTATAAAATTATACATCCCTAGCAACCACCTAGCAACAAGCTGAAATTGCCCATTGTTAGCATATAAAGAAAGACTTCTCACTGTGATTGAGTATATCAGTTTGGCAACAGCATGAACACGTCAAAAATACTGTAGCATACACATGCTGACTTTTAAGTCTGCCTGTAGGGTCCTTGTGATTACGCAGACTGTGTGAATCCGGCACATTGAGAAAAGCAGCTCAAGTCATTGTCAGACTTTGGATCAGCCACACTACTGAGAGGCTGTCTGATTATTCACTGTCGCACGCACAGAGCCAGTCTTTGTGTTTGAAGAGTCCCTCTGAGTCATCTTTGTCTGCGATGTAGTGAAACTGCAGCTGCTTGTCAGTGTCAAGGGTAGGGCCCGTTGAAAAGAGTCTGTCTGGACTCGATTTTAAGAAAAAACAGCCTCTGAGATCGATCGTTTGCCTGCGCTGAAATCTA